TCACCCTGTAGCCCAAGACTGGTTGCCCACTGAAGCTAAGCAGGGCTGAGCCTGGTCAGTACCTGGATGGGAGACCTCCTGGGAAAACTAGGTTGCTGCTGGAAGAGGTGTTAGTGAGGCCAGCAGGGGGTGCTCACCCTGTGGTCTGTGTGGGCCCTAACGCCCCAGTATAGTGACGGGGACACTATACTGTCAACAAGCACCGTCCTTCGGATGAAACGTTAAACCTGACTCTCTGTGGTCATTCGAAAAGAGTAGAGGTGTGACCTCGGCATCCTGGCCAAATTTGCCCATTGGCCTCTGATCATCATGGCCTCCTAACAATCCCCATATCTGCTGATTGGCTTCATCACTCTGTCTCCTCTCCACCAATAAACTGGTGTGTGGTGGGCGTTCTGGCGCACTATGGCTGCCGTCGCATCATCCAGGTGGATGCTGCACACTGGTGGTGGATGAGGAGATCCCCCCCGACAATGTAAAGCACTTTGAGTGCCTAGAAAAGCGCTATATAAATGTAATTAATTAATTAAATCTGGATTCTGATCTGGTTTATGCAGTAATTTAATCTGGATTCTGATCTTTGCACTGTTATTTAATCTGGATTGTGATCTGGTTTCAGAGGTGCTGTGTTGGCCCATGCTGCTGTCCACATTCAGTCACTATTCTCTCTTCCACATGGCGGCCAACATGTACGTACTGTGGAGTTTCTCTTCAAGCATCATCAACATGATGGGAAAAGAGCAGTTCATGGCGCTCTACCTCTCCGCAGGTCTGGGTCATTTAAGAGTTTTCAGATTTCCAAAACATCCTACACTCCTTAAATTCATCAGTGTTGTTGGATTTCATCTTTCTGTGCCCATATTCTCAGGTGTGATTTCTACGTTTGTCAGTTATGTGAGTAAAACAGCGATGGGTCGGTTTGGTCCATCACTGGGGGCGGTGAGTGTGTTTTCAGATTAAACATTTCAGGATTTCATCAGTGTTCATATGGATGTAGTGAACAGATTATTGCGTTGTGTCAGTCAGGGGCCATCATGGCCGTCCTAGCAGCTGTTTGCACCAAAATGCCTGAAGCCAAACTGGCCATCATCTTCCTCCCCATGTACACCTTCACCGCCGGAAATGTGAGTGTGTGTGTGTGAGTCTGTGTAAGAGATTTTTGTTGTTTTGGGTAGTAATGATGGCCACATTCTCATGATCTTCTCCTGCCAACAGGCTCTCAAGGCCATGGTCGCCTTGGATACCACAGGCTTGATTCTGGGATGGCGTTTTTTCGATCACGCAGCTCATTTAGGTGGAGCTTTATTCGGCATGTGAGTGATTTGTCCCTACTTTCGCGTACGTTTAGATCAGTCTAGATGTTTTTGAAAGGAGAAAGTGTTGTTATTGTTAACAAGAACTATTAAATATTGTTTTCGTTAATTGAAATAAAGCTGAAATGAAATAAAATGTAAATATTAGATGAAAAACTTGAAGTGAAAATTAGAAATGTTGCCTTAGCAACTAAAAATAAATAAAAGTAAAGTAAAAAATAAATTAAAGCTGAAGGAATAAATATATATATATATAAAACAGAAACAAATAAAAATGGCAAAACATAATGAAATGACTAAAATTAAAATTAAACTAGAGGTGTGCGATATATATCGTCTGCGATAATATCGTAATTGTTGTTTTAACGATGTGCAATTTGACATTATCGAGTATTTTGCAAAAACCAAACAAAACACCTACGGAGTGCGCGTACATTACGTGATGAAGTCTAGTGGGTTAAACAGTGCACGTGCGCATTTAGAGAGCGTTCTTTCACTGCATGATTCAGTCTATTAAAATGCATTAAGAAAGATCACAAAATTCAAGATATGGGGGCAGAAAATGTACATATTTATATAATTTCATATAGTTAAAATCACACAAAGTGTGACTTTTTTTTTCTTCTTCAAAAATACGCACGATTACAAATGTGATACTGATTTTATACAACAGTTCAATAAAAACAATAAGTTAATATTAAGAGACTTACATTTTAGACACCATATTGCCTGTTGTTTTGCTCTATTTCGCCAACCAAAAATCATTCCAAACACAGCCACAGCACTGTTGTGCGCCTCTGAGCAACATGACGCTGTTTCGTTCCTGAATGAATTAATCGTTTAAATGATTCGGTTCAATCGTAATGACTCACTTGTTTACAATGAGTTGCTGCCACCTACTGACGATTTTAATTTCACATTTAAAGTATCTATTCATTTTTTAAATAATTTCTTACATCAGTATTCAATGTTTTATGTTTAAAATATCAAAACATTATGCATTTGTAACTGCAGGTTAAAGCACTCCATGTCCCTCTGAGCTGAATTAAATAGTGTGTAAAAACATCTAAATGCCACTTCAGATGCAACTTCTGCAAAGATTAATTTTGTTGATACTGGTTTCATTTATTTGGGAACAGCCTAAATGTCTTATTATTCTAATTGACTGATAAAATGCAACAATTTGACTCAAAAGATGCACACTTTTAGCAGAAAATGGCTTTATTAAAGGTAAAAATGCCCATAAAATGTAAAAATCAATTTAAACTTATTATGAAAAGATTAATTTCTGTTCACTGATGTGAACTGACCACACAGAATGAAGAATATCAAAAACTGCAGCTGTCCATGGTAGTCAGATATCAGCACAAATAACACACTTGGCAAAATATCGTCTAATTATCATTATCAAAAATATCGAGATATATTATTTTTTTCAATATCGCACACCCCTAAATGAAACCCGAAAATATCAAAATAGAATATAATAAGTCAAAATACTAATACATATTTTAATAGTTTATAAATAATACTAATATAACACTGGCAAATTACTTGTACCACTGTTAATTCAGTATCATTAATATACTATTATAATTTTTGTTAATATTTGATAATACAGTATATAATATTTTATTTATTAGATTTTATTTTTATATTTGCGTTTATATAATGTTTTAGTAAATGTTTTGTTTTCTTGTATTCATTTTTTTGTCTATATAGTTTTTATAAATGTGTATTTATAAATTTTAGTTTATTTAGTTAGATTTTATTTTAGTACTTTAAGTTTAACTAAACAAAAAGGAAAAGCTGTAAAAAGTTTAAAAAAAACATTTTTTTTGCATTTGGTTTTATTTTAGTTAATGTTTATTTTATTTGAATTAGCAAAAAATTATTTTTATGGTTTTAGTTTGATATAATAACCCTGGTATGTAGTCACTCAATTCAATTCATTTGACATGCATTTTAACAGCAGGTGGCGTAAACATCGATTGGCCACTTGATGGATCTTTTTACCAGTTGTAAACATGTAAAGACAAGCATGTTCATTCTCTCTCTGTGTTTAATGTCTGTTTCTTCCTCTAGCTGGTACATCAGTTATGGTCATGAGCTCATTTGGAAGAACAGAGAGCCGCTGGTGAAGATGTGGCATGACTTCAGAACGAGAGGCCCGGGCACTGGCGGCAACGGCTCGATTTAGAGCCATGCATTAGAGTCATTCATTTTCATTCATGAAGAGAAAACAATTTGAGAAACGGACACAGACACGCTGACACAGATATTCATGCACTTGAAGCTCATGTTCTGTTTTGTATTCTGTGAGAGAGTCATAGAGTGAGGTCCGTTTCAGTCACAGTGATGTCCTTATGCTCCGCCTCCGATTTGAAATTTGAATCCAACTAACCCCACCCACTTGGTTAAAAATGCAAATGTATCTGGAGGGGCAGAGCTTCGGCACACAGCTCTAAGGACGTTATGCGTCTCAGTGACATTCAACATCATGTACAGAAACTTAAAAGTTTAAATAGTCTGTAACTGTCATTTTGAAAAATAAAATTATTATTTAAAATCCTGTTTTCTCTGTATGATCAGGTGCCAGCTTTGGTTTAATTTACTATAATTGTGTGTAATATGTTCTTTATTGTCTGAGTTTCAGATGAGACTTTGGTCCTTGTTAAATGTGAATGATTAGCCCTGTTTCTCTATAGCACACACACACCTACTCTATATGTCTCATCAGTAGAAACTGTTTCAGAGGTGTTTTCTCAGAGCGACCAAAGTTCAGTAACAGTCATGGTATCATAATGGCTCATGAACAATGCGTCTGTTTTCCACTTCCTCGTGTTTTCATGAAGTCACTGTATCGCTCGTCTCTTCCCGTGTTTCCCAGTTATCACTCGGAAACTTCCATCCCATCATTCTTTTCTCTCCCATTGTCACTCGTTTTGTTGTCTTCTGGTTTTTGTGTAATTAATTGCACAGTTTGGGTTTCATAAAGAAACATCCAGGTCATATTTCACCCCAAATTCACAAGAAATCTAAATATTTAGCAAAAATAAAGTGAAGCCTAATCACCTCCATGCCACGCCGAATTGAGGCAGTAATTAAAGCAAAAGGAGCCCCTACCAAGTATTGAGTACATGTACAGTAAATTAACATACTTTCCAGAAGGCCAACAATTCACTAAAAATGTTTTTTTTATTGGTCTTATGAAGTATTCTAATTTGTTGAGATAGTGAATTGGTGGGTTTTTGTTAAATGTGAGCCAAAATCATCCCAATTAAAAGAACCAAAGACTTAAACTACTTCAGTCTGTGTGCATTGAATTTATTTAATACACGAGTTTCACAATTTGAGTTGAATTACTGAAATAAATGAACTTTTCCACGACATTCTAATTTACTGAGATGCATCTGTATATTAGGCTTTTGTTGACAAATTGGCATTTTTCCGTTTTTTCCTGTTGTAAAAGAGTCTGGTTAAAAGTTCAAAAGCTTGTGGTCAGTAAGATTTTTATTTTTTGTTAAAGACATTAATACTTTTCAACAAGGATGCATTGATCAAAAGTGACAGTAAAGGCATTTAGAATGTTACAAAATATTTTCTTTCAAATAAATGCTGTTCTTTTGAACTTTCTATTCATCTGTGAATCCTGAAAAATTAAATGCATCACAGTTTCCACAAAAACATTGGGCAGCACAACTTTTTTCAGCATTGATAATAATCAGAAATGTTCCTTGAGCAGCAAATCAGCATATTATACTGATTTCTGAAGATCATGTGACACTGAAGACTGGAGTAATGATGCTGCAAATACAGCTGCGCATCACAGAAATAAATGACATTTTAACACCTATTCACATAGAAAACAGGTATTTTAAATATTGGAATAATATTTCACTTTTGATCAAATAAATGCAGTCTTGGTAAGCAGAAGAGATGTCTTTCAAAAGCACCCCAAACTTTTGAACATTAGTGTAGTTTGTAAATGATCTTTAAGCACTTGAGTGGAATAAAGCCTGGTGTTGTGTTTGTTGATAATGGCGTAATCGGTGTACTGTGAAGTGTGTGAAACAGACAGATGACCCTGAATCAAGAGATGAGTCTCATCTGGAAAGAAGGCCATCTCTCTGCCCCCTTTCTGTGTTTTGAAGAGGATTAGATTTTTTCAGGGTTATTGACCTAAAGCCAATATTAACACAGTGACACTCGCCCATCACTGCTGTCTCTCATATCGACGGGAAACCCTGCTCAAAAGCCACAGTTTCAGGGGAAACCTAACAAAATTATTCTTGATTATTAGGTCACAGTCCACTGGGAGCCAAACAGGTGTGTGTGAATATTCATTTTCATCAATATAATAATCTGTAGCAATTTCTGATTGTGCTTTGGGTCTAAACTGATGAATATTTGTCAGATATTCTGTTGTCAAGTTTTTATTATTATTTTTTTAATATCAGTGCATCTTTTGTTTTAAGTATGCAACTGCATTTAACTGCAATAAACAATTAATAAAAAACTGTATAGTAACAAAAATCTAATAAAAATGACAAAATTACTAAAGCAACTAAAATATAAACAAAAACTAATTTGAAAAATATGAATAAAAACTATAATAGTATCTCAATTATATTAAAATAACCTGAAAGGCTTTATTCATCATTATGAGTGAATCGCATTTTTATGCATGTTATTAGATAAATACATTTCTAAGTTAAGCACTGCATGATTTGCTTTTATTTCCCAAGAGTTTGAAGTCCAACGTTTGACCGGTCATGAATAGAACTTGTCTGAATTTCTCACTCTAGAAATACTTAAACGTGATATTAATAGTTTAGAATCACATCAACCTGACGAACCTTTATGCTGAAATAGTTCTTTGCAAGAGTTCTTTATGTAACATAACTTATAAAACAACATTACTGAGATGTTATTATTGAGAAAGTGTTTATTTTTTCTAATTTAATATCAAACTTTGATATTTTACCCCTTAAGGGAAGTCACATATGTAAAACCACTGCATGCACCGAATTCACTACATTTAGCAGTTTTATTCCTATATTTTGAAGGCTTCTATAGAGGGGTTTGTATATAACAAATGTGTTTTTCCAGCCTGATGAATCTCCATTTCTGGTTATGTTTGTGTTCTGGTGCTTCAAAGAACCCAGAATCCAATATACTGATGTGAAGAAGCATCTTTAAACAGCCACACAGCAAATTATGAACCCTATAAAGCAAAACCATAAGAACCGTCGAAGAACCTTCATTTTGAGAGTACGGTTTTGGTCAAAAGTTTGCATACACCTTGCAGAATCTGCAAAACGTTACTTGTTTTGTGAAAATAAAACTGCATGTTTTTTTTTATTTAGTACTGTCCTGAAACAAATATTTTACATAAAAGATGTTTACATATAGACCACAAGACAAAATAATAGCTGAATTTATAAAAATGACCCCGTTCAAAAGTTTATATACCCTCAATTCTTAATACTGTGTTAAATTTTGTTTAGTGATGTTTGTTCATGTGTCCCATGTTTGTCCTGAACAGTTTTCCAGCATCTTTTGCATATCTGAATCCTCTCCAGCATATGATATGATCTTTTCACACTGAGGACAACCGAGGGACTCATACGCACCTATTACAGAAGGTTCAAACATTAAGGGGTGAAAACCCGGAATCTAGTGGAATCTAAAGATCAGGGTAAGTTTGACTTATTTTGTGCTCTGGGAAATATGCAAGTATCTTCTGTAGCTTCTGAAGGGCAGTACTAAACGAAAAGCATTATGATATTAAAACTAAATTTACACATCTTATTCGGTTCAAAAGTTTTCACCCCCAGCTCTTCTTTCTGTAGCATTAGTGACCTTTTGAACCTTTAAACATATTTTATGTAAATAGCTTATTCAGGACAGCACTAAATAAAAAAATCCCTTCTATTTTGGTAAAATAATGAACCTTTTTCAGATTCTGCAAGGTGTGTGTAAACTTTTGACCACAGCTGTTTATGTGTTTGTTTGTGTGAATAGTCTCAGAATCTCTGGTTCAGGATGGCAGCGATGGTGTTTCAGCTGATGGGAATGTTTCTGGGAATCGTGGGCTGGTGTTTGGAGTCCAGCTCCACAAACTCAGCCGTGTGGAGGAAAGCCAGTCACGGGGAGGCAGTGGTGACGGCCAGCTCTCAGTTTGAAGGTCTGTGGGTGTCGTGTGCGTCTAACTCGCTCGGAGCCATTCACTGCCAGAGATTCAAGACCATCCTGGGCCTTCCAGGTGAGACACGCGCTCCACGTGGCCTTCGCTCGCATTACGTCACACTGCTGCTTGGTTTCAGTGATACAGTATCATGAGCGTTTTACTGTTCGCCTGTGGCTCAATCCTGTGACAAAACGAGGTTATACTAGTCATAAAAACTCACTCACACACACACCTTTACTCTAGAATACAGTACAGTTTTCTGCAGATGTGTCTCAAATGATTGCAGTTTGACTCTTGGGCAGAATTTAGAATTTAATCATTGAATTCTTTTAATTTATGGGTTCAGATTTGAATTGGCCAAAATCTACAGCAAGAAATTTAATTTACAGGAAGTGGATTTACTTTAAAAAAAAATTACTTGAAAAAAATGTTAACTAAAACCGTTTAAATCAAAGTTGAAATAAAATGAATATTGGAGGAAAAATAATAATAAAAATTAAAAAAACATGAATATTAGAAATGGTGTACGTGAAATACATAAGTTTAAGTACTAAAATTAAGATAAATAAATATATTTAAAAAATAATTAACAAAATTACAAAAGCACATAACAAAATGACTAAAAACCTAAACTAAAATGAAAACTGAAAATATAAAAATAAAAGATCATTCAAAATATTAATGAATACTGTAATCAAGGTTATTATAGTAAAAAAAACATACTTTATTTGAGCTAGTTGCCAAAGCAACATTTCTCTTTTTTGTTTAGTTTATCGTCAAATATCTAAACTGACTCAAACTAAATGAACTAAAAGTTATAAATGAAAAAAATGAATCAAAACAAACATATTTTATAAAAATACAAAACACGTATATTGTGTGGATTTGAGCCGTGTTACTCGATCATGTCGACGGGGGTTCAGCTGCTGGGGTTCTTGATGTGTTTGGGAGGCTGGCTGCTCTCCTTCGTGTCGTTGGTGAATGATTCGTGGCGCACGTCGACGTTTGCGGATCAGCTGATCACGTCTGTGTGGTACTATGTGAACCTGTGGCAGTCGTGTGCCGAGGGAAGCACCGGCGTCAGAAACTGCAAGCAGTTTGAGTCCATGCTGTCTCTGTCTGGTAACTCACACTAACTAGAGTTTGTGCTGTTCATTTTGAATTGGAAAAATTGATTGAGGGGATAAGGGCTCATGTAAGTTTAAACAAACTTACAATGAAAAAAATTATATTTAAAATTATTATTTACAAATATGTGACCCTGCCTGTGAAAACCCAGCTAAAGTCATTTTTTTGTCATCCAAATCATCCTTTATACAACATTCTGTGAAAATATAACCTTTATATCTTTAATATTGACTGAGTAAGGCCACGT